TGGGTCTCTGTCTCTGGTATATGGATGAGCTGGGAGTGAGGGGCAGTCAGCAGTAGGATGTGGGAACTGGAGCCAGATGAAATGACAAAAATGTGCTTAAACTTTGAGCACATTTGTATCACTTCCTGCATTGACATTCAAAATGTTGAAGAAGGGTCACACCCCTAAACGGATATACAGAAAAGCAGTTGTACAGATTTAGTGCACATCATCTTTGGGGAATATAAACACAACTTTGTTTTCCTCCCACAACAGGCAGTTCAACTATTCCCTAATTGTGGATTAGGGAGGGAGGTAAAATCAAATATCATAAAAATATGCTACTAAAACCAGATGAGTTATGGAAATTATGCTCTGAGTGTAACTAATTTTGTGTGTAGCTTAATGTGTGTATTTTTGCATGGATTGATGTGCATATGAAATTGTGAAAGTTTCCTGCTGCAATGAAAAGTACTCTTATGTTTTATGAATAACTGGCATTGTCCACTGAAAGGATGTTTAGGAGACTGCCGCTTCTTCCTTTACTTCCCTTTGCTTTTGCATATTAACTTGTTCTTGTTATTAACATGTTGCCTTTATAAGTTCAAAAAAAATCTCCTATTTACCTGCATGTTTTGGAAAAGCCATAAAAAGCTGACATTCTATTCAAGGTCACAAATTCACTAAAACACTGGTGCATGTTGTGCTGCTGCTCTTATTTTGTCATGAATTGTATAATGAAGTCCAGGCAGAACATTTTCACATTCAGTTCAGCTTAAAATCATTTTTATTTATAGCAACAATTAAAAAGAAGAGAAATGAGCAGATAATTTAAACAGCAGTAATAGTTAATATACAGTATATTTTAGAACAGGAGATGGGTACAGCATATTAATGAATTATTACTTGGTCCTTTGTTCCATTTCTTTGTGGTAATACAGTTATAAAACTGAGTTGTTGACACCTGGCTTCTATTGCTCTCTCTCTGTTTGCTTTCTGCAATAACCGTTCTCTGTCTGCAGAACCAGTACACAGGAATGTTATGGAGCAGCAATGATGAGAAAGTTGGATCCTAGCGGTAAACTCAGTCGCTCAAACCTCACACGTCGAGCCACACATCTCTCAAACACAATGGGAGGTTGGGCCCACACAGCTGTGAACACTATTCGTAAACCCAACTGAGCTACGTGTGTGTGTAAAACATAGGACCTTTGTAATAATTTTTCACTTTTATCATTATTGAAGTGTTACGGTTTCGTTTACATGTAGTGTTGTCATGATAGTGGGAGACTGTTACATGGCATCTTGTCTGTGCTGAGTGTAATTGTTGTGTGTTTACACATCTCAGGTTAGTTAGTCATAGATAAAATATTCTCAGTGTAGCTACCAAAGAGATTTCTGTATTGTTGTATGTACCTGTCATAGCTGCTCCAACAACTGTAAAAGTCTTCATTATGTTTTCAAAATACTAATATTGTAGTTTGTTCACACCTTTTCCATAGAAATGTTTTGCACAAGACCAAATATGTATCTGTATAACTGACACTAAATTTACTGACAAGGGGGAGATGCATTATCCTCTCATTTCTATGTATGCAATAATGTTACTAATATTGTACTTGTTTTACCTTTTAAAATGATATTTGATTAGGCTAAATTGTAGTGAACGGTGAATTTTCTGAGAAAGGGGACTTTTTTTAGATAGTGTAGGCAGGATTTAAATGAAATAAAAAAATATAATACCTTCCTTTGAGGCAGAGGTCAGTGCCTTTATTGGCTTGTGGATGATTCATGCTTTAGTCCTGTACACACAAATCATCTGATAATGTGATACTCATTACCCGATGACAGTATAGTGACTATCAAGCAAATGAAGCTAAATTTCTCCGTTCTGTTGTTCCCGTGTATTGGCACCCCCTTTTTCTGCAGTCATGAGAGAAGGCGAGACATTGTATCCATGTGTGGGAAAACAAAGTAAAATAAACTTTCATCAACCCAGAAGTCCTGTCTTCTTTCATTTTATTATTGCAACACAGTAAGTGTAATCTGGGCTGTTTGTATCACAGTACCTTCCTCATAACATGATTGTTGTTGCCACTTTTTGTATCGTAAGTCCTCTACATTGTCTCAGATTAAAACAGTGCCATAAGCTATGTATGTATTACTTAATACTAGCAAAACCAGATCCACAGCAAATCAGAAATAATGATGAAACTCAAAATAGCTCAGAAATCCATGGTTCCTATTATCTTTAAATATAAGCAAATACTAACATCTTGGTTAAAATTACTGCCCCAAGTTAATAAACATAACTTTGGAGCACATTCCACAAAAAAGATAAACAATGGCAACCTGAACTAGATACAGTGTGTTACAGTATAAAATTAAAAGACAATTTTATGTCACACCTTACCTTACACCTGAGTTAAATGTAGACATGAAAACTGGGTAGAACAGTGTGATAGTGTAGACTTATGCTTCTTTTTTTCTTAGCCTGGCTGTTATTCATGTTTTTCACTTGCTGATTGAATGTCAGTGAATACACATCCTTTGGCTTAACATAGTTAAACTTGTTAAAATGATCAACAACTGAATATTATCTGTAGGCTAAATGAGTGATTGAAATATACCAAACATATTACTTTTACTGCTATATGTTCAGTATTACCATCCTCTATCCAGTAGTGAATAAACACTAGTACTAACTAGTAGGGTTTTCTAGCACTGTAGTGAGGTACTTGTACTTTTCTTGAGTATTTTCATTTGATACTACTGTATACATTTTACTTTACTATAGTGTTATAAGTTAGAGATATATAAACATAACTTCACACTGACCAGCTATATTAAACACGGATTACATCCTAATTAGCTATTACTGATAAGGCGATTATTAATATTAGACAGAAAAGTAAGGTGAGCCTAGAGTCGCTCAGTTTGTCCCTCGCTATTACCCGTCATTAGCTGCACGAGTCGGTGAATTCGCTCCTCCTCTGTCTCTCGGCTTTGTACTCAGAGCTGAACCCACGCCGCGGCTACCTTATTCAGGATACAGGAGCTGCTAAACATCGGAAAATGGCCCTCCACGTTCCCAAAGCTCCGGGCTTTGCCCAAATGTTGAAGGATGGCGCCAAGGTGAGGCTAAATCCGCGTGTTGTAGTAGTTGGGTCGCTTTGAGTGTATAATTGTGAGCTAGCATGCTAGCCAGTGTTAGCCTCTGAGTTAGCACGTTCATTCACAGTCAGGTGGGAGAGTTCTAGAAGCTGCCAGGCCGCTTGGATTTGTGGGACCCGGGGTTGTTATACGGGCAAAAGGGTGATTTCTGCGTCTTTCACTGCCATCTCTAATACTTAAACATACTGTATATACTCACAGTGTGGTAGCTACAATATAAATGTCAAAAAGCAGTCGCACCCAGTTAGTGTTTAGCTAACTGTCAAAGCTGTAGCTTTGATTGTCACCTCAACTGTGCCTGGCTGCTCTGGGATGCTGATGATGCGTCCTGTTTTACAGACTAACCCTTTTAGACATCTTTAGGTCTCTTTACGTTTGCAAACTTTATTGTATACACATGTTGATTCAGATCATTTTCCCTGGATATTGTTGAGATAGATTTGGTTTTTTGGTAAGGCCGAATACCAGTAACTCTGACTAATATGGGCACTATTTAAATCTATTGCTCCTCTTCTGAAAAGTCACAGAGTTGTGTTGTTCTCTGATGCAGCACTATTCAGGACTTGAAGAGGCAATCTTTCGTAATATCAAAGCCTGTAAAGAGCTTTCTCAGACCACACGTACTGCTTATGGCCCAAACGGTAAGCACCTTCCTCCTCCAATAGTAAGACATATTTGTAGTGAGTCTTTGTTGTTAAAACTTATATTGGTGATGGCTAAACCCTTAATATTGTTGCCTTTTAGGAATGAACAAAATGGTCATCAACCACTTGGAGAAGCTGTTTGTCACCAATGACGCAGCAACAATTCTCAGAGAGCTTGAGGTATGGAAGCGTAACATTTTGGAGTAACAAACTGCATACTGTAGTGATTTATAAATTATGGAATTCAGCTGTTTGCTTGAATGTTGACTGTTTTTAGGTGCAGCATCCAGCAGCCAAAATGATTGTGATGGCATCCCATATGCAAGAGCAGGAAGTTGGGGATGGTACAAACTTTGTCTTGGTGTTTGCTGGAGCTCTGATGGAACAGGCCGAGGAGCTGCTCAGAATGGGCCTGTCTGTGTCAGAGGTAAACAAATGTAGCTATGATGATATAACAGCAAGGCTTTACCACATTAGTACTGACTATTTTCTATTCACATTGTACCCTTTATTAATATGTTGTAATATACATATGGATGCATGTCTTCTAAAGGAAGCTGTGGTTTTTTATTTCTTTGCTGAAGAAAACGTTTCTTGTTGGAATTTTTAATAATGCCAAGTGTTACACTGTTGGTAAAAGCACAGATATCCTTTTATATAGACTATGGAATAAATATCAGGTTGATATAATAATGCTGATATTTGTCAATGCAGCAGTCTACCAAAATGTAAGTGTTTGCATTCCAAAGAAATGAATTGCCGCATTATCCCATTTTCCTCTTTGCCACAGATTATTGAAGGCTATGAGCAAGCATGTAAAAAGGCTCTGGAGATCCTGCCAGACTGCGTATGTTCCTCAGCCAAGAACCTCCATGATGTTAACGAGGCCACATCTCTGATCCGTACAGCAGTCATGAGTAAACAGTATGGCAATGAAGACTTCCTTGCCAACCTCATTGCAAAGGCCTGTGGTGCGTCAGCAGTCCAGACACATAATCCACACTAGGGCTGTCAGTTGTCAAATATAATTAAGTTTCTGGAAATAATAACTTTGTAGTTTTTTCATTATCTTTTCTTTACTGGCTTGTGCTACAGTATCCGTCTTCCCGGAGTCTGGCAATTTCAATGTTGATAACGTCAGAGTATGCAAGATTTTGGTACGTAGCCTTATCTGTTAAATCTATTTTGGTTTGTCTGTGTGTGTGTGTTGCATACCTCCGCGTTAATGTCTGTGGTGTTTTCAGGGCTGTGGGGTGACTGCATCTAATGTGCTACATGGGATGGTTTTTAAGAAAGAGGCAGAGGGAGATGTCACATCTGTTAAAGATGCCAAGATCGCTGTCTTCTCCTGCCCCTTTGACTGCATGGTGACAGAGACCAAGGTAATGAATAGTTCACTTTCTCTTTGGTGTATTAGAGAAAGCTGAACTAACGAACTCTAATCTCCTGTTAAATTTGGATTAGTTTCACACAACATATCTCATGTTTGCCCTAAAATAATTGATTGCACCATTTAATTAAAGATACCATTGTTGATGATATGTGAAATGTTTAGTCATGGTTGAGTTGCTAAGAACTTGAGTCTTAATATGACGAGCCTTTTTTATGAAATGTATTTTGATAGGTGTTTTTTTTTTGTTTAAGTTCAAAATATTGTGGTGTTAATTCACAACATATGAAGATAATTATATCAGTGCTAACAATGGTTTTATTTGTCTCAAAGGGCACGGTTTTGATAAATAATGCACAGGAGCTCATGGATTTCAGTAAGGGAGAGGAGGATATGATGGAGGCTCAGGTCAAGGCAATCAAGGAGGCTGGCGCCAGTGTGGTGGTAACTGGAGGAAAAGTGGCTGACATGGCGCTGCACTATGCCAACAAGTACAAGCTCATGGTGGTCAGGTAAGATAGAGATGGGCACTGATATTCAAATAAGATTCATCAAGTGAGCTGGGCTGCTAGAAGAGTTTCCTCCTTTAAAATTCAACCTTTCATGAAACTGTCTTCCACCAAAACATGTAGTTTGAACCAAATGTGGGAGATGCCAATGGTGTTGACAGTGTTGTTGCAAAGTGTCCTGAACTTGTACCTCCACCCTGGGCTACTGATATTAGTTCAGGTTAGCATGGTAAATGTGCAGGTTTTACATGATGAAAAGGAAAGGATGGGCCGTTCATCTAAAATGAAAGAAATTTCAGTAGAAGAACTAGTTGAAAATATTCCATGGGCTATGAAGTGCATCAGAAAATGTGATTTTCTTGAACGATAAGGTTGTCCATTTTCTAAATTATTAGTATTTTCAACACTTCCCATATTGAGAATCAAACCAACATTGAATTGCCTCTGCTCACAGTTAATGTTTGTCAGAATTGGTTTAGCTTATTTTTCTGTGCCATAGACATAGAATGTTTTTTCATTACGAAGCACCAGACTCACATGGGTGTGTTTCCCTGATGTTTTTAATCATTTCTGAACAACTATATGACACAGACAAATAAACCAATTTAGGTTGGAGACTGATAGACAATAACAGTGTGTAGAGGCAGTTCATTGTTGGCTTTTGTGTCTGTGTGGGCAGTGTTGAAAATACGGTTAATATAGAAAGTGGTAGACCTTATCCTTTAAATTGAATGAATGTCACTTTCAGCTTTTTCTCATTAGGAGTCGTATGTTGACACTTAGCATGTATTATACGCCAGATGCCCTTCCTGATGCAACCCTGACTCGAATCCGGGCTGCAGCGCCAAGATGCATTGGCTTTACTCCTGTCTTATCTCCTTGTTATAAACTGCCATTGTGGGGCTATTATCAGATATTATTGCTATTGTCATGTATTGACTGTTGTCGGACATTATTTGTTCAATTACTCTAATTTTATGAATACTGAAAATACTAAACATTGGTGGCAAATTGAATTGTAGTAGTATTTCAAAGTCTTTATAGAAGTATACCCTTTGTCACAGTGAAATAAACCCCCTAAAATTCCTATATCTTGCCTTTTCCCCATCAGGCTTAACTCTAAGTGGGACCTCAGGAGGTTGTGCAAAACTGTAGGAGCTGTAGCCCTGCCCAGGATGGTGAGTGTAGTAATGTTTTGTTGAGCTCAGGCATGCAAGACATAATAAACTATTTTGTCAATCCATCCATCCATCCATTATCTATACTGCTGATCCTGAATAGGGTCATGGGAGGGCTGGAGCCAATCCCTGCTGACACTGGGTGACAGGCAGGGTCCACCCTGGACAGGTTGCCTTGCCAGTCTATCACAGGGCAAATATTTTATCATATAGTTATATAATAATGATCCTTTTTTGCTTTCTTAGATGGCTCCTACTCCTGAGGAGATGGGACACTGTGACAGTGTCTACCTGACAGAGGTGGGGGACACTCAGGTGGTGGTCTTCAAACACGGTAAATCATTCTTTGCTCCAGTCTTATTGGTCTTCATTTCAGTCCTCATCTTTGCTCCATGTGAGCCTGAAGCTTAGAATATTGTTTGGTCCTGATTGTCCTAAACAGAAAAAGAGGATGGTGCCATCTCAACAGTGGTGATCAGAGGATCCACTGACAACCTCATGGATGATATTGAGAGAGCTGTAGATGATGGAGTCAACACCTTCAAGGTTCTGGTCCGGGTAAGTCAGCACAATAAGCCACAGTGGGATTTCTCGTTTAATCTTTGGATTTCTCTTGAGGAATGTTTCCTTAAAGCTGTTTGTTGAGATTTACTGATACTTAAGGCAGTGTTACTTATTAATAGAGTCATTGTAAAATGGTTGCTGCACCCTTTCAGTACAGCAGCTACAGTTTTTGTGTCATTCACTGTGTCTAGGACAAACGACTGGTACCTGGAGCAGGAGCCACAGAGATTGAGCTGGCCAGACAGATCACCTCCTATGGAGAGGTATGTCAATTTGGGTGCATTAGCTGTAGTGGACCAGGTTCAGTCTAATGCCTCTGCAGCATCACCGGGTGAGAAATTGCAGAAATGTGACCTCTTGTGTTTTTTCCCTCTCTGTAGTCCTGCCCAGGCCTGGAGCAGTACTCCATTAAAAAGTATGGTGAAGCCTTTGAGATACTGCCACGTGCACTGGCTGAGAACTCTGGTGTGAAGGGGAATGAGCTTATTTCTAAACTGTACTCTGCACATCATGAGGGAAACAAAACCATGGGCTTCGACATTGAGGTGTGTATGTGTACGTGCTGAGTGAAAAGACAACAGCAGTTCCAGTTAACATACACTAAAATGTGTCCATGTATTTCACATTCATAACTGAAGCCATTTTTATGCCTAACCATGCTCATTTTGTTTGTCTGTCTTGTCGTAGCCGTTAGTTTCAAACTACCTCTCAGGATTTCTGAGTGCACGACAGCAGTTTGATTTTATATGTAGATGTGTTGTATTGCATGTTCTTGTGCTTGGACATGATGGCATGGATGTGATGTTGTGTTTAGGGAGACGGCCCTGCTCTAAAGGACATGCTTGAAGTCGGCATTCTGGAGCCTTATCTGGTCAAATACTGGGGCATCAAACTGGCCACCAATGCTGCCATCACAGTACTGAGGGTTGATCAGGTGTGTAGAAAAACACTCGTGACACACACTAACAAAGTTAAATATTTTTTTGTGCAATTTCCAATTCACACAGATGTTGTTAAGGACTGGACTTCTTTCATTGTCAGCAGATCCTCTGGATAAAACCTCAAAATGCCATGGTCTTAGTGCATTTGTTGGAGACTGTTTTCAACCATGGATTAACACACCTAATGTGCTTGTGAGAATTAGAACAGCAGGATGGCGTATGTGGGGGTGACTTGTTGATTTAAGTGTTTTGACAACAATGGAGGTCTACGGCAGAGAGAAATAATATCGTTTTAATCAACCTGCAGACAGAAATGTTGTTTTGCTATTATCAAATTGAATAATAGAATCTAATATGAGAGGTTGAATTTACCTTGCAGGTTTTAAACAGTGTTTGTTAAACTAATCTGTGGAACAGATGCAGAGATGTGACAAACCGGCCTGTTGGAGTCGCACCTTTGGTTTCAAACATATGTATTTTTGTGTCTCTTGACAAAAGATTCAGCTTAAACATTTTCCTTTAGCAGAGGATTTGAGTCATAAATGAACATATAGTTCATATTTTCAGTTGTATGTAATTTGATATATTTGAATGATTAGTTTCCAGCTAGTTAATGTTAGTGTGTGTATATATGCACAATCCAGATCATCATGGCTAAGCCTGCAGGGGGACCCAGTGCTCCCAAGCAGAGAGGCCACTGGGACAAGGACGGTTGGGATGAAGCGCCTGATAGTTTTGAAACTCACCATTAGAGGGCGCACGCACACACCCTCTATCAGTAGGTCCTGGAATGAGTGTGTGCTTTTGACTCAAAACTCACACACATGTACTCACTCACTTGCTCACAGGACACTGTCAAATGCTTGTTTTGTGTCTCACTAATAACACTGGGTGTGATACAGATGTTGATGCACAGAAATGTCTGTTGTCTAGGTGATTTCAGTCAGATGTTTTAATTATACCAAGAGTGTCACTGCCTTCAGACTAAAATTATTTTGTCTAAACTTGCATGAAATAAACTCGAAAGCCTGCTGCATGCACTCATGAACTCTTTCTCCTTACAGCAGACATCCTCAGGCAAGTGCAGAATTTAAAAATGTTGCATGTAAATGTGATGAGATGCAAGGAAGTGGCTTTGCTGTGTGAGGGGCTGAGAAGAGTCGCTGCTGCTGATTACATCAAATCTCAGTGGCGTTCCCATTTTTCTGCAATTATTCTCAGACATATCTTTGTCGTCAGTTTCTCAGTTTGAAAATGCTGTGGCTTGTCCTAGCATTGAAATTAAGTTGATAAGGGTTTGAGTTTTATTAGGACAATTTTATTCTTTTAAGCATTTAATTGCTGTACTACATATTTTTCCTTTTGTAGTACTATTCTTCACATATTTAATCACTGTAAATGGCCTTCCCTAATATTGGTAGGGATTTAAATGACCTCTTTTACTTTGAAAATATAGTCCTAAGTCATTATTTTAGAACCAGTTTAAGCAAAATTAATTTAGTTATTCCTATGTGTTTGTGCTGTACCAAACATTTCTAATTAAGTATCTTAAAAAGTAGTAGAAGAGTAGAAATGAATAGATGCCATACTCACTGAAAGTACAAGCCAATTCATGGTTGTTGTGTTTTTTGTTTTTTTTATCCTGACCACTGTCTAACAGGTATGTTCTAGTGTCAGAGTTGCCGATAACCTCCTGCCTTGCCTCAGAGCCCACAGCCTGCTGCATGGATCTCGGACCTCTTGCTTCCCAGTCAGAAACAACTTATTGATGGACTGCTGTCTTTTCTCCTTTCAGATAATCATGGCCAAACCAGCCGGGGGGCCTAGAGCTCCCCAGGGCAAGAAGGACTTCGATGAAGATGACTGAACCTCATGTTTTTCAGCTGATGCTCTTTAAAGCCCGAACGCTCCCTCATGGATTCATAAACCTGTTTTCTACCTGTGTATTTAAAGCTCAACAGTTTGGCTGATTTTGTGGGAATGACCACACATTGGTTGGCAAAGATATATGTGACAGTAAAATGTATGGACGGCACCGTTTGCTTTTTATGTTACTAGTCCCAAATAAAAGACACTTGCGTTGTCATGTCTGGGTTTGGATTTAGTGCTTACACTCACTCACTCAGAGCCATGTTAAATAATTAATGTTTTGTCAAGAATAAACTTTGAAGCTTTTTTGCTTTGCTCTTAACATGTTGAGATGCAGACATTATGCATGTGCAGGTTTATTTTTAGAACGAGTGACCTGGGGAATGAAGATGTATTGCCGTGTTCTATAGACGCAATGATACAAAGGATGACAGAAATTGTGGCTTGCGTGCGGACTTGATGTCTGCGTCTGTGACTGCACGGAGCAGCAGGAGGAGCTGAATCTGATTGGAAGGCAAAGATGTGGGTGGATTTGCGCTGACGTCCATACTCGGGATTAACTTGTTTTCATGTCGCCATATCTATCACATTTTGCACCGATCAACTGCAGATTGTTGACAACAGTGTATTCGTTCGCTTTTTTTCAAATCTATTAGTGTGTGTGTGTGTGTGTGTGTGTTGTGCATGAGGCCGTGGATAGGCTGCCGCGGAGGCGCGCAGGACAATGTGAGCGCCTGGATGAGGAGCAGACGTCGCACTGAGGTTACAGTGCTGATGTCCTGGTACTGATGGGGGCCGACAGCAGTAAAAACAGGGAGGTGAGTTAGATGTAGGGGTTTCCCTTGTTTCCACCGAGTTGGTGCCCGAAATCACCAGACAGAAATGACTGTGTCAAATATTGTTGGATGACTATTTTAACGCTTTTAGCATTATACTGAACTAAAGGAAACAACTGATAAATATATAATTATCAATATTATCCTATACTCTGTGTTGTTCCTAAAGATATTTTGTGCTCCGTGGTATCCAATGTAGCCTACATTATATTTTTATGCGTAAAATGTAAGTAAGTAAGTTTGCCTTTACTTTGAAGGCAAACTCATTGTACCATCCATCATCTAAAATCTACTGTCTCATAACAATGGCCAAGTAAAATCCTAGCATTGCCTATTCCTGGACAGTTTATGGCAGTAAATTGGTTCAGATGATAACAATATCCTGCATGGTTGATTACACACATCTTGCACCACAGAGCGTTAGATTGGTTGAGCACTATAGGGCCCAAGGGGAGAGGGGTTGTGTGACCAAGTGACTGCAGCTGGGTTGTAGACCATGCATTTTTCTCGTCTTGTTATATCCCAAATGAGAGCAGGAAACTAAGCTATTGGCCACTTAGCTCCACTGTCTGGTTTTAGGTTATTACACAAGTCACAAAATGACCAAGATGGGAGTTACTGCAAGTCATAGTGTGATGTACAGTTTTAAGTGGGATTACAATTCTTGCTTAGGCAACTTTCTCTGGTTAAAAAATATCTTTATTTTCGCTTTTTAAAGTTTATCTTTGTCCTGCATGGTGTATGTTTGCTCAAGTTCCTGGGTTATGAACTCCTAACAGGTCAAGCACAAGAAGAATGTTACTTTTAGCAGTGACTCAATAATACGGTTAGTTCTTGTGTGAAACAGTCCCCTACACAAAGTATTAAATGAACAGTCCATGGTTTAACAGTGTTTGTCAGTTTGAGGCTAAGAGTTGACTAAAACATGCAAAAACCAGGAAAGATCTGTCAGCTATTCTTTTTTTGTTAATGAATACCATCTTTCTCCCCTGTCTTCCCAACAGCGGCCCACTGAAGGGCAAGAGGATGAGCATTTTTCATCTGGATGGCATGGCTTCCTCTCTGCCATGGGTTTGTCCATCCCAGCCACCCTCTGTCGGATAGCCCCACCTGCTCTGCGTCTAGGCCAGCGTCGAATGCTCCAAGGCAACTCTCCTGACATTCCAGAGCACGTCCTGAGGTTGGCAGGTGTCGGCCCAGACAAGCTGAGAGCTGAGTGGAGCTTGCCAGAGTTCATCACCATGTTTCTCCCTGAATTCCCTCACAGAACTGTGCCTAGGCATGGACATTTTCAGGTAGACCTCAATCCAGCATGCACACTACAAATGTCACACTAATAAAGGGCTGTATAGTTGTAAAGTTGTACTAAATGTTTTTTTTACCTTTTCACTCACCCTATCTCTCTCTCCATCTCTGTCTCTTTCTTTGTATCTCTCTCCATTTCTGTTGCTGCTTTTTGCTCCACCAGGTGTTGGGTTATATCGCTAAAGGTTCTTTTGGACCCATTCTAAAAGTGAAGGACAAGGCCAAACATACAACATATGCTGTCAAAGTGAGCCTTCTTCCTGAATCTCACATCTTAAATGCATTTGAGTAAACAAAGCTAAAAGTGAGCAGCCACTTTATTAATCCATGAAAGTTGAAATTCACTAAAAACTTCTAATATTTTAAGTTATTTTTTAATCTACTCCCAGGACAAATAATTTTAACTGTCGTTGCACTTTTTAACATACGCACTAATAAGACTGTTATACCAAACTGCTATTGTGTAATACACTTACATATATTTGTCTGTTAAAATCCTTACAGTCCTGTTTAGTGTTATTTCATTTTAGCATTTTCAACCAACAGGTAATACCCAAATCAGAGATTCTAAGACTTGGAGTCTTGGAGCAATCAAAAGAAGAAGTTATAGTCCAGGTAAGTGCTAAGTACAGGCCTTGAAAATTATTCAAAGTTTGTAGATTGAAGGAAAAATAAGTTTTTAAACTATTTAGATATCAATAAGTGAATATTAAAGGACTTGGTTTTAGAAATACAGGGTGGGCCATGGAAAAGTTGCCTGTGTACTCGAGAGTGTATTGGAGGCAGGCCACTTTTCTGTGGCCCACTGATTATTAAATACAAAATTAAACTGAATAACTGAGCTTCCTGAGCCACTTTTCATGCAGTAACTAATACTTTTTCATGCAAAAAAATCTTACGATGGATGTGTGTATATTAACACCTTGAATTTTTTAATGAGAAAGTGGTCCATGACTATTTGGGAAAAGAAATATCTTGACCCTCATGATAGGATGATATTATATTTCATTGTTTTTCCTTTTGGCAGTTCAGAAAGCCTAATATATTGATCCTTTTTTTGTTTTCACTTTGGATATCCTTAAGTCAGTAAATCTTAAAACAACTGAAAAAGAACTTGAAATGTGTCTTTATGCAGATGTGGTGTAATTATACATCTCTGATTTACTAGTTATTTCAATGCTGATGGAGTGTTTTCAGCTAAATTACAGTCAGACGTCAGATACACTGTATTTGATGTGAGGAATTTATTTTTACTTTCTGTTTCCTCAAACATTATACATCTGTAATGTCTGATTTTAACCATATTATCTAATTTCAAGAGCAGAGGTTACTCAAGTTTCCACTGAAGGCATATCTCAGAAAACTAGTTGGTCACAGTGATGAAAATGTATGGACCTCTTGTTGATCAATGGCCAGAACTAAGATTTTTTCAGGTTTGACCTTTGCTTGCAGCGTCAGGTTCGCCACCCGTTTGTCCATGACCTCCAGGACTGCTGGCAGACACAGCGCCACCTCTACATTAGTGAGTCAGACAGAGAACAGTGACCCAGTCCAGAATCATTATCCAAAACCCCTCACGCCACCTTTTCTCGCCTTAATACAGGTAGTCTTGTCCAGGATCCATCCACAATCCCCTCTGAGCATTAACAGAAGAAAAAGATCCTACTACCACGTCCTGTAATTCTGGGTGTTTTGCTTGAACAGCATCTAGAGACACAAACTTTACCAAACCTGTACAAACCTTCAACCCCTATCCACCACTGTCTTTGCATCTTGTACTTGCTTTGCCCTCTTTTCTTTTCCTCCATAGCATTTACCCTGTTTTTTCTAAATCAGTCACTGACTCAGAAAGTGTGACCCAGTTTGCTTCCCTACCCCCTGTGAAGAGAGAGCGTGGTAGCTTGGGGACCAGATGTTGAACACTGCTGCAGTTTAAAAAAATACAACACTGGAGAGAACATCTCTTCTCGCTTTAACAGTGATTCATCATTGAATCACATCTTTTTAGCTATAAATAATAGATATGGAACAGAAGTGTTGGTGAATATTTTCCTTTCTTCTCACGTTGCCTCATGTAACAGCCATAAAAAAAAATATTTTTCCAGATTAGAAAGGGTTGCTCCATTATTGCAGACCTACACACTTCACTTCTGTGACTGGAACCGACTTTGTAGCTTTATTTTTCAAAGGTGCTTGGCAGAGAGGCTACAAACAGACTACAGTAAATCACCTTTGTTTGGTTTGTAGAAGATAGTTTTACACTGTCCTCACCTCTTCTTTACCAGTATCTGTGTGTTTTCCACGTCCCGCTGACCTTCATTACCCCTCTACACCTCACACTACATGACATAGGCATGTTGGTTTTAATCCAGTCTCTACTCCCACAGTGTGTGACTACTGCAGCACTGGAGACCTGTACACCTATTGGCAGATGATCGGTCAGTTCACAGAGGACACAGTACGAATATTTGCGGCAGAATTGGGATGTGCACTCAGTGAGTATATTAACAGAAATGGTTCGGCCTACTTACATATTATATATACCTCATCTTTCTCCTCAAATATCCTAATTTGACAAGACGAGGCCAGCCTGGTGCTTTTATGTGTGGAGTTTGCATGTTTTCCTTGCCTCCGGCTTCCACCCACAGTCCAAAGACATGCAGCTTAGGTTGACTGGCAACTCTCAATTGCCCGTAGGAGTGAGTGTGAGTAGTGTGTGTGGGTGTCTGTCTCTAAGTCACACCCCTGTGATAGACTGGCAACCTGTCCAGGGTGTACCCTGCCTCTCACCCAATGTCAGCTGGGATTGGCTCCAGTCCCCCCACAATCGTATTCAGGATAAATGGTATAGATAATGGATGGATGGACTAGAATAGGCTACATGAAAGTTTCCATAATTATTTAATTTTAAGTAATTATAAAAAGAGGAGGCCTAATTAAAATGAGATGACCTCTTAAAGGATCTCTCACGGCGACAAGGCTATGCCAAGGTTTTTGATATGCTAGAAGGAGGATTGAATTGACTTTTATATTCTTATTCTTCTTTGCCATTTTTCACAGGCTTTCTGCATGACTTTGGGATCATCCACAGAGATGTGAAGGTAATGTAAAAGAGGGGAATAACTGACAAGTTTGGGAACCAAAACAACCAACAATTTATTCTCATCAGTCATAGAAAATGCAATCAAATTTGGCCCATCCAGCATGAGCTTAAGGACATAGCTATAAATATACATCAAAAATCAGAGACATCAGCTGGTTACACAAATACAAAACTACAACTAAACATTATGTATACACATCTAAATGATTTGTCATATATTCAGCCCCTAATATGGATGGGTGTGTAATTCCACCTTTTTTACACTTTTACATTTGTAGATGGAGAATATCCTGCTGACAGATAATGGTAAGTACAAACCTGTCTCCAGCAGAGAGCAGCATAGCTCTGCCATGCAGGAGAAGAACAGAACCTTCCAGAGAATATCCTGATTGTGCACATGCAAACAGTACATCTACTAATAGCCTATGAATACAGATCATGATGGCAATATGTAAATATTTTACACCAGCTCTAACTGCATCTCATGCATGTAATGATGTAGAGAAAATGGTCTATTCTAGGACACATCCGTTTAGCTGACTTTGGTTTGTCTCATCGCCTGGAAAGAGGAGAAAGGGCCTTTACCATTTGTGGAACCATCCAATATATGGGTGAGAAATATTCCATCCCATCCATATCCGCCTCTATGGCTAATCCTGTCATGCTGAGACACAAGTATTACCATATTAACATTTTCTGCATTGTTTTAATTTGGGATCCTTGAGAGTTATAATAATAATGTTCCAACACACAGTATATAGTATATCCAGTGCTGTATTTGCAGCCCCAGAGGTGCTGAGTGGTGGACCCTACAACCATGCAGCTGATTGGTGGTCACTGGGAATTCTGCTTTTCTCATTGGTATCTGGGAAGGTGAGCTCCTGTGTTTCCGGTACACTCGATATATCTTGCATTTCTTTTGAATTTTCCTTTAAAAAGAACATGCATTTGATCCTTTCTTTATGAAGCAGTTTTACATGTTTGTCAGTGTGTTGCAGTATATGAGTAAATCCTGAGAAAATGTGCCTTTCCAAATTTAAAGAAAAAGTGTTATGTGTTGCCACCTCTCCTCAGTTCCCCATGCCTCCAGAGCCAGACCACTGCAGTATGCTGAGGAAAGTGAGGAGTTTTCCCTATGAAATGCCCCTCAGTTTCAGCCCTCCATTTGCCTTGCTAATAACTGAGGTAATTGTACAAAGTGTAATCATGCTGCTACAGAATTCAAATCTGAACTTCTGACTGTTTAATTACATGCCCCAGAATCTAGGTATGTCTACTTTATCATGGCCTAAATGTTTATCTGTCCAGCTTTTGTGCAAGACTCCCTCCCGTCGCCTAAGGACCCTCGATCGTTTCAAACGTAAAACCTTCTTTCATGGTGCAACTTTTGACCCCGCCCTGCTGCAGCGCCGGCCTGTGGAGGTAACTGACCATGTCTAGATGTAGTTAGGTTTGTTGTTCCCTCACTAAGTTAAACATGAGTCAGATTGGAAACAGAAGTGATTTTTCTCTCTTGTCCAGGTGATTCTGGAGCTGAGAGAGAGACCAGACAGAGCTGCCAAAGCTCGACGAGGCCTCACTTTGTCTCTGCAGCCTTTCAAGGGCTTCGACTATGACTCACTCCTCAGCCCTCCTGCCACACCGGCCACACAGCTGAATGCCGACATACAGTCTCACACAGCTGCTGCACCGCTGCCCGGCCCTGCATTCCCACTGCAACCTGATCAGGACAAAAGGTCACACAGAGAAGTGTTTGTGTAAGACTTTGAGTTTACAGGATGGTTACTAATGCACTAAAGGTTAAGGCCTGCATAAATGCATTTCTGTACACTTATTCACCCTTACACAAAGTCATGGCACATCTTGGAAAATGTCTTATTTAGTTAAAACCAAAATAGCTGTTACAATGTAATTAAATTAAAAGTTTAGAAGGGGATGATTTGAGTAAAAAGCACCATTCTCCACTGATATTGCTGCATTTTTTGTGGACACTGTTGAATACTCTTACTTGTTTGCCTTTTTCCAGTGCACACTGTTTTAAACCTACTTACAGTGGGTACGGAAAAGTCTTCAGTCCCCCTTAAATTTTTCACTTTGTTATATTGCAGCCATATGCTAAAATCATTTAAGTTCATTTTTTT